GAGTTCTACAGGAACGGAACAGAAATTGCCTGGGCCTGGGCCCGGGCCCAGAGGAGGCCTGGAGCCGCCCGGGCTACTGTTCGGTGCCAGCTTCATCCTTGGCACTCGGCCCGTCACACAACATCGCTCAGCTCCCAAGAGCCAGAGCCCACAGCACAGTGGCAGCTGCTTGAGGCTATGGCTGCAGCTGCTGCCCTGCCCAAGGAGGGGTGTAGGGTTGGCTCCGAGGGCCAGGGAGGCCAAGCTAGCAAGTCTTAGAAATCACTCAGTCCACTTCCATTTTATAGATGGTGAAATGAAGCCCAGAAGGAGCAGTGGCTTTCAAGGAGAATAAATGTGGAGACTCAAACTCAGGCCTCCTGTCTGCCCAAAGCCTCCTCTAAGCACAGCCGAGTGCCGGTGTCTAGAGGGGCTAGGCACAGAGGGGAGCTGGCCTGGGTACGTGTGTCTGTGTGTGCCAGGATGCATCTATGGCATATGCCTCTGCGCATACCAGGGTTTCTATGTCCCTCTGGTTATCTCTCTATGGGTGCTCCTGTGTGCTGGGGCTATGGCGAGAGAGGGACGGGCCTATTCCTACAATCTTGGGAGGCCTCCCTAGGCTGAGTAGGGAGGGTGGGTCCTGAAGGGTAGGGTGAGGAATGAGGACTTTGCTCCCAATGGAGAGGGAGAGACCAGATGGTAGGCTTGGGCCATGGATGAGAAGGGTCCAAGGGCTAGTGTGGAGCAGGGGAAACACAGCCAAGATGGGGTATGGGTCCCTGGAGGTTGAGACATGCTCTTAGCCCTCATGTGGGCACAGCCCTCTGATCACCCCAGTGGGTGACCCCAGGGAAAGCAGTCACATGACATGGCACTTCTCAGCTGATTGCTTGAGGTCCCCCAATGTGGCCTGGGCCTTGTCCTTGAGTGACCCGAGGTCCAAGCCAGGGAGGCTGGCCAGCTGCCCGAGGACCGAGGCCCGCTCCTCCTCCTCCTCTGTGTCCTCCTCAATCATCTTGGCCAGCTCCCGGGGCAGCTCCACGTCACCACCTGCCATCTGGATCTGGCTCTCATCTGTCTCATTCTGAAGGGAAGAGGGGAGGAGGTTGGGAGGGTTGGAGGTCTGTGAGGAGCCAGAGTTGAGGGGGCGGGGAGGAGGCCTGGACTAGGTTCCAAGCCTCTGGATTCTTGAGCCCCATGTTCCAGTGATTTCCGCCGCATCCCCACATCCCAGAATCAAGCTTCTGACACTTGGTAGGGAGAGGTTGCACTTTTAGACCACCTTACTTTACCCTGAGATACTGAAGATAAGATACTAGCATAGCGAGTAAAGAAAAAATGAAAATACCTAAGAGTCAAACTGCCACAGTCAGCTAAGTCATATGGTGCCCACCGTTACCCACACTGGAGGACTTAGCAATAATAGTGATGGGTACTATTTATCAAACACCTACTCAGTGGCTGACATTGAGCTAAGTGCTTTTAATTCTCACAATAACCTTGTGAGCTGGGTATTGTTATCTCCATTTTACAAATAAGGAAATTGAGGCTCAGCCAATTTAAGAAAGTAACTTCCCCAAGGTCACACAACTAGGCAGTGAAGGAGCTAGATTTAAACCTCCGTCACGGATTCCAGCCTCTGTGCTCTCTTTGCATGGCACCTACTGATTGTCATTGCACTTCTCTGTCCCTTTGGGAACGCTGGGGCTTTCCACTTTATGTCTTACTCAGTTACAGCCAAGTCTTCCTCATCTACTGGACTCAGAGTTCCCTGCCTCTTGTACCCTTTGTGCAAGGCTTTGAGGAATGACTCCATTCCTAGCTGGGTTTAACTCAGTAACTTTCCAGACAGGCAGGCTTTCTGGACTGGTTTTCCCTTTGAGAGACTTCCAGAAGACTGGTGCCCTGTAGGGAGTCAGAAGCAGCCAGGGGCTCAGTAAACATTTGCTGAATGAGTGAATGTGACGTTCACATATCTGAACTTCCAATTCAAGTGGAAGATCAAGGTCAGGAGTGCTATAGCCCTGTACTTTTGTTTCCCCTCAGAGTCTAGCACAGTTCTGGACACTGGGAGTGGCTTGTGCCTCAGTTCCCTCCTTAGGCAACACTTACATGCCCATCAGGTGCTGCAGTGCCTAGGAGAGACAACCTCCTGGCTGCCTGGCCAACCAAGGGGGTGCTTTGCTCCCTGCAGACACTCCATACCCTGGAAGGCAGCCAGGGGTCCTGGAGCAGGCGCAGGCTCATCATCCACAGGCTTGAGCTCTAACCCCAGCTCCATCACTTGCTGGCTGCATGACCTTAGTCAAGTCCCCTAATCTCTCTGAGCCTCAGTTTCCTTATTTGTAGATGTAGGTGATAGCTACCTGGCAGAGTTCCTGACAGGTTAGGTAAGGGTGTGAAGGTCAACAGAGGTGCTGCCTTCTCTCCGTCACCCCACCCTCCCCAAGTGTTCAGAAGCCCCAAGAGCACTCACCCCTGCAGTAAAATCTACTGCTTTCCACCTCATCTGCCCCGGCCTGACTCGAGTTTGGGGAGTGGGGTGTGGAGGGGAGAAAGGGCCTGGACTGGCTCCAGAAACACAAACCTATCAGTCTCCGGAGGACTGGGCTTCCCTTCAGCGCCAAGCCCTGGCCCTGGGCGGGTGCCAATTAACCGTGAAGGAGTGAATGAAGGAAAGAGTGAGAACGAAGGATCTAACCAAGCACTCCGTGAGTCTTGCAGGCTGAGAGCTGCGGCCCCCAGAGTGGGGCAGAGGAGTCCGGAGCCCGGAGCTCAGGGTCCGGGCCGTGCCTTTCAGCCCCGGCTCCTGAGCTTACCTTGGGCAGCCGATATTTGTCTCTGAAGTGGCTCCGCAGCGTGGCCCGCTCGGCCTTCCTCTGCGTGAACTGCGCGTCCCGCTCCATCCTGCGGGGGCACCGGGGGCGGAGTTATCGCGACGGCTGAGAGAACGGGCGGGGTCTGCGAGGAAGGGGCAGGAGGGGTCTCCGCGTCCTGGCGGCCAACTGCATCGCTCCCGCCCACCGGGCTGTATGTTGGGAGGGTGCTCGGACCTGACGGGCCACGATCAGTCTTTGCTGCCACCGGCCCATCACAGCGCCCTGTCGCCTCCGCAGCCGCTGCTGGACGGAGCTCTCAGGGCGGGGGCGTCAGTCTGTCTGGCTCTCTCTGCAGACCGTAATATATATCCCTCGCGGCCTCCGACTCCGTCTGTCTTTTCCCTCCCTGACAGGTTGTGTCGTGTGGGGGAAACTACTAGGGACAGACTTAGGTTCGCGTCCACGACCACTTTCGGTATGTCTTTGGGTAAGTCACTTACATTCCTCTTTTGTAAAATGGGGCTAAGAGCACTGTTCCCAAGATTAAGTGAAATAATAATAGCTAACATCTAACGATTTATCACGTGCCAGGTGCTGTGCTAAGCAGTTTATGTACATTAAGAAATTTAATCCTCATAAACATATAAGGCATGTTTTAGGACTACCATCCCCATTTTATAGAAGAGGAAACTGAGGCACAGAAAGGTTAAGTAACTTGCCTAAAGTCACCCAGCTAAAAAGAAACAAAGCCTGGATCTGGATCCCAAGCAGCCTAGCTGTGGAGTCCAGCCCCAAACTCCACTTTGGCTGGCTCTCTGTCCCAGCACTGCCTGCGTACAAGAAGTCTCAGTATCTATGAGTGCCCCCATCTCAGTATTTGTCTCTGTGACTCTGAGCCCCCTCAGCTGCACCACTTTTCTCAGAACCTCAGGCTCAGAGGAGCTCCAGTTGGAAGACACAGACGGCTGGGACCAGATCGGATTAAGGGATTACTTGTTTCGTCAGAAATGCACGTGCCCCGACCCCGTCCCAGGCCCCTATCGCCCCTGCCCCCATTGCCTCTGGGCTTGAATGCGAAGCTGGGGTGGGGTCTTGGGTGTGAGATGGGGTGGCTCTGGGGGCAGCCTAGAAGGCACATTCCACATCTCTTACCGCGTCTGGAAAAGTAGGAGAGGAGGGCTCAGGGTCTGAGACTGCCCTAGGGGTGGGCCAGGTGGCTGTTGGAGGGGGGGAAGGGTCGTTGGAGCCAGGAAGGGATCCCACTCACTTCTCTTCCACCAGTTGCTTCTGATACTCCTCATACTCCTCTCGGCTCATGCCCTGCGCTTCGGCCGCCGACTTGTCCACGTCCCCCTTGTCCTCGCCGCCCCCCAGGCTCCCGGTGAGGTTCTTCAGCTGGCCGCCCACCATGGTCTTCACCATGAACGCCATGGTCTTCGCTGGCCCGGGCACCGGGCGCCGGGTAGTACGCGCCAGGCACCAGGCACGTCCGCGCCTACTTCAGCACTAGCGCTCACGGACAGCTCCCGCCGCCCGCCCGCCCCCGCCGGGACCCGCCCCTACCTCCCCAAACCCCTCCTCTCGGGGGGCGGGGGGCCTGCACGGGGCCGAGGAGGCTGGACCACGTGCCGGCTCCACACTCCCGCCTCCCCCACGTGCCTCCTTCAACTCCAAGCTCAGCTGTGCGCTGCTGACAATAGATTAGGGCCTTTGAGGGTGGGGTAGCTCCCCAGGGGAAGGGGTTTCACTGGTTCATTCCCTGAACCTTGCTTCCTACTCTCCGCCCACTTCCTCCTCTCCCAGGTTGCTGATAACCAGGAGTTCAGCTGGGAGATAGGAGTAGAAGCGAGGGACAAAGATCCAACCCTGGGCCCCACCCCATTCGTCTCCCCAACCAGCTTCCCCAGCAGCTGCCCAAAGCTTGAGGCTGGGAAAGGGAGGGAGGCCAGAGAGTGGGGATCCCAATTATGGTTCCACGGGTTGCCTCTTAGAGTTCTGGGTCACAGCCTGCCCTGCTGACCCCTAGAACTGAGCGGAGGAGGGAGAGAGCTGTTCATGGTGATGCTGGCTGGGCTAGGAAGGGTACCTGGAGACACCGCTCCTTGTTCTGGGTGAATTTGAGGACAGAATTATACACAGTTGTGACTCCCTCTTTCCCTCCATAGTCCAGGGCTTAAAGCCTGTGGGGTATCTGGTCTTTTTGGCGTCCAGGCCAGCCCTTGGCCTCCTTGTCTGCTTGGAGCCCACTCTGGCTACCGGACCAGAGAAGTTGGAAGCCTTCAGAGAGATTAAGGTGCAGCTGGAAGGTAAATGAGTGTAGCAAAGCATGGGGAGAGGGAAGTCACCTTTAATAAGGTGGGAGCTCCACAAAAGCTAAGGTGTGGGTAGGAGCTGGGCACCTAGAGGGAGAGGATGCTGGCCAAGCCCTCCATGCCCCCCAGACACTGTCCACTTCCCAGTGGTGAGAAGTGGACAGCCATTCAGGGCTTTGAAGTGGGTCACGCATTCATGCTGGGGGAGAGGGGCTGCCTCCTCAGAAGCCCCAGGGCCCTAGGGATGGGTGGTGCAGGACTCAGAGGAAGGCTGCCTGTGGACAAACAGTCTGGAAGGTTCTGGTTCTGCTCCTGTCTGCTGCCAGGGAGAGGAGAGGAAGGTTACTTGGGCCTCTCCCTACTGGGCTCTTGAGATCAGGCTCCCACACTCACCTCCCTACACTCACTGACCACAGCCTCCCCACTACGGGACCTTTATGGCTTCCTTGGCCTTCCCATCCACCACACTTTCCCCCTGGCATTCAGGGTCTGTCCAGGTGGCTCTAGCCACCATTGTGCTCTTACATAATACATAAGCCTGACATCATTTCCACCTTGGACCTTGCTGTTCTCCTCACCAGGAGGCTGTCCCCTCTCCTACTCTGCTTTTAAAGCTCAGCACACCACTCCTCCTCCAGAACCACCCCAGCCCACACTGATTCTTCTTGTCTTGAAATTTCACCGAGGACTGTCAGTCCCATTTCTGAGCCCCTTAGCACACCCTACATCTCTAAATGTTTCATTCATTCAACAAACACCCACCAAGTAGATAGTGACCTCTCCCCAATGTTTTTAATTCTTTGCTCAGATTCACAAACTGCTCCCACCCTGTGCTCTGACTGTACTGAACTTGCCACTTTTTCTCCAAAATATTATGCTTTTTCTCATGCTGTTCCCTCCGCATCAATGCCTGAAAAAACCCCTAGTTGGCCTTGATGACCCATATCAAATGTCCCTTCCAGGTTGGTTCCCTGATCTCCCCAAGCTAGGTCAAGTGCTTTTTCCTGTGCTCTTATAGCCCTTGAGCTTCCTGCCATCATGGCACTGACCACATAGGGTGTGATTGTCAGTTGCTTGTAAGTTTCTCACATTACAGAGTGAGCTCTGTGAGGGCAGGGCCCAGATGGGCCCAGCGGCTGAGCAGTGGTCAGTAGAGCCTATCGGAAAAATGGGTCCTAGCCTGGGTGCTGCTTCTTGCCAGCTGGTGGGCCAGGCAGGTTTCCCCTGGGCCTCAGTGCCCCTTCTTTCTTTCTTTCTTTTTTTTTTTCTTTTGAGGAAGATCAGCCCTGAGCTAACATCCATGCTAATCCTCCTCTTTTTTTGCTGAGGAAGACTGGCTCTGTGCTAACATCTATTGCCAATCCTCCTCCTTTTTTTTCCTCCCCAAAGCCTCAGTAGATAGTTGTACATCATAGTTGCACATCCTTCTAGTTGCTGTATGTGGGACGCGGCCTCAGCATGGTCGGAGAAGCGGTGCGTCAGTGAGCGCCCGGATCTGAACCCGGGCCACCAGTAGCGGAGCGCGCGCACTTAACCGCTAAGCCATGGGGCCGGCCCCCCGCTTCTTTCAAATCAAATGGCTATGGCCTAGAACCAAGAGATGCCGGGTAGGTGTGGGAAGTCCTGCTCATGAGAAGGCCTACCTGAAGTGTACATAGCAGAAGAATCCTAAAGTCTGGATGAGGAGGAAGAACAGGAAGATGCCTGGCAGCAGGCATGAGGAGGCCCCTGGAAGCCAGCCAGGTGGGCGGGGGTCCTTGGCTGCTGCTTTCTGAAAGGGGACAGTCTAAGGCCCTGGACCAGCTTCTTACACAGAAGGAGAGAGGGGACCTGGAATCCAGGCCATGTATGGGCTCTGTTTCCCTCTCCCAGGCTTGGGGCGCCCTGGCTCTCATCCAGGGAACCTGGAGAGGGGCAGAGTACAAAGCTGCCTCCCCCACCCCTGCTCCCACGGCTCCATCTGTGGGAACAGCTGGGAAGGCCTGGGGCCTGGGATAATCAGGAGGCTAAAGGCTCTAGAGATAAGAGAGAGAAGTAGAGAGCAAGACAGGGTGATGGAGGGCAAGGGAAAGAGCAAGACGAGGCAGGGGCGCTTCACCGTGGAGCTCTGAAGGATTGTGGGCACAGCCCACTTCCATTTCCCTTCTGGTCATTGAGGGGATTGGACTGGGTGGTCTCCAGGGCCCTGCTGGCACTGAGAGTCTGTGGGACTCTCCAGAGAGCAGAGAGGGCAGAGAGAAGATGAGATCTGTGTCCCTGTGTGCATGCACACACAGACACAGACAGAGGTGTGCCTGCCAGGGGGCCAAGGAGGGAAGGGCAAAGGCAGAAGGGGCCTGGGGCTGCAGAAGTGCTGGAAGAAGGAAGCTGAGCCTGGACCTCAGGGCTGGAGCCCCCATGGTACCCCTCCTTCCCCCTCACCACTGGTCCCCGAAGGTCCTTCTGCAGTCGGCTCAGGATCTGGTCCAGCTCTAAGAGATGATGCTTGGTACCGACAGGCAGGTAGAAGACCTGGGCTCTTGAGGCCATGTGGGCAGCTGCATCCCTGGTGGGGGGTGGAAACCAAGGGAGATGACTCATTATCCCTTTTTGTTGCACCCAAACCTCCTAACCATTTCTCATAATCCCCAGAGGCAGCACCTGGGTGGGGAACAGGCACCATCCATAGAGCCCCTTCTTGGGAGCTGCTCTTCTTACCCCAGACCTTCTTCCTGGATCCTCAGACAGCTTTAGCTCAGACAAGTGTCTCCCTAAAGCAGTCTGTCTCAACCCCAGGTTCCTGGGCTCTGCCTTCCATCTCCAACCCCAGGGGATTTTACTCTTCTCCCCTTTCCCGTCTTCCCACCCCAAGCATCTAGACGTGGGCAGGGTGGCAGGGGACGCAGCATCCAGCATCCAGCCTGAAGTCTCCCTCTTTCACAGCATCAAAGTGACCCCCTGCTGCCAGGGCTTTATGGGTAGCTCCCGAGACCTGGCCTAGAACGGGATGCTGGGAGGTTGGGGGGGGGGGCAAAACAAAGTCAGGGACTTCCCCCCAACTGGGCCTGATCTTGGTTATGCTCCCTCCAAGAACCGCATCAAAACATGTCCTCCTTCCACGAGCTGTCGCTGAACGAAGGCTCAGACTTACTAACCCTCTCTGGGGTGGGAATTTCTGAAGGGGGCGTCATGAGGGGCCTCTCCCAGGGACAGTTGCTTTTAAACTAGGACTTTCAAAACTTTAAACTTGATTCAGTTAAATTCAGTCAGCTCGACAAACCTAACCTTGCCCCCAGCCTCTCCCTGTGTGCCGGGCTTTGTGTTGGGTGCTCAGGAAATGATGAAACGAATAAAGGGCTGATGGAGGAGCTTCAGGCAGAGAAGCAGGGCGGTGGACAGGGGCTTCTCTTCCCTCTCCCGCAGGACCCCTCCTCGCCCTGGACTCTTACCTCATCTCTTGCAGGTCCTGGAGAAGAGTCCGCTGTCCATGGAGCAAGGTGCTGACTTTGGCAGAGTCCTGCAGGAGTACCAGTCTCTTCTCTAGGGCCCAGGGCACAGCCCCTCTCTTCTCAGAGTCCACTTTCCCCGGGAACACTGTAGCCCTCTTCCTTCCAGAGGCCTTACCAGATTACCTGGGCCCTCCTCATTTTGGACACATTGAGGACACATTGTCCGTGTGGGCTTCTGTATTCCCCCTCCTCTCAAACCCCTCTCCCTGAGGGTGGTGGTTCCCCCCCACCCCAGTGGCTACTCCTGGGCTTTCTCAAAATCCCTGCCCTTTCCAGAAGGGAAAAGGAGGAGGGCCAGTCCAGTCCCCTCTTCCCCCTGAAGGAGGAAGAGGCCCAGTCCAGTCCCCTCTTCCCACTTCCCCCAAGGCACAGTCCAAGCTGGGGCCAGTGCTGGTCAGCTCCCAATGCTTGGGCTCCTGTCTTGCTGAGTGACCTGGAAGAGGTGGCCACCCACTCTCTGGGGTGAGTGGAATCTGGCAGGAGGGGTCCTGGGCCTGGAAGCAGCATCAGAGAGGCCTAGCCTTGGAGTGTGGCGCCCCTCCCCTCTTCCCCACCCTGATAGCCCAGCTTCAGCTGCTGTGGCCTGAGGGCACAAGATTTAGTTCCCAAGCTGCCAAAACCCAGCAAAGCCCACAGGAGCCACTGGCCTCTTCTGCCCAGCATCTAACATCTTGACTGAGTTCAACTCTCAGGCCCCAGGCTGGGCATGTCTCCTAGGGGAGGATCCAGGATGGCAGGAGATGAAACAAGGATTCTGTTGCATCTGAGCATTAAGGGAGCCGTATGTGAATCAAATCACATGTGAAGCTACATGCAAATTAGCATGCAGTCTATTTCTGTCACTTGTCCACAGAGCAGCATACAAATACCTGGCATCTCCTCTCCCCAGCCCCCGCCGTGTGGCTCGTTGTGCATTTGCTTGTGCAGAGCTGCCCTCCTGCATGCTCCCTGCCTGGCAGGTCTGCCCCATCCTGCAACTTGCAGCATTTCACCCCTACCCGCCTTTTCCTCCAGACCTTGGGGGAGACTAGTTCCCAAGTATAGCGCTTGCTCCTCTTTCTGGACAGAAGGAGCCCACTGGTGCCATGGGACCCAGTGCCTAGGGAGGTCAGCTTCTTCAGGCCCGAGGGGTCACTCACCCAGGCTCCCTCAGGCCTGGCCTGGCGTAGGGACCCCAGCTGCTTTTTCCATTGCTTCTCAGCCTGGGCCAAATGCTCGGAGAGACCCTGGAGAGCCTGCAGGATCCGGCTGTGTCTGCCCAGCGTCTCTTCCAGGTCAAAGATACTTTCCCCTGGGGATGGGGGCAGAGCTGGGACAGGCAGCCAGCTGGGGTGGGGCAACAGATTCTATCTTTTGGGGGCTTCTTGGAAGGGGGGCTCAGAAAGGCGTGGCTTCTGCCTCCCAGGCTCTCCCCTGGAAAGCTGTGTCTGGGTGGTGGGGTGGGGATAGGACAGAGCACCTGGGCCCCAGGGCCCATTTAGATATGCCGCCTCAGGCCTCTATCGCCCCTCTGGTTAAAGGGCTCCTAGTTCGAAGGGAAGAGGATCCTGTCACACTCAAATGGGCCCCTGCCGCACCTGGTGCTCCCTGGGTCCCTACCCTCTTCCTGGGCTTCGAAGCTCAGCTTTGGAATCATGTCCTCCTCTGTGCCCAGGGCCAGCCTTGCCCGTAGCCCTTCCAGCTGCCTCGCCAGGCGGAGCTGCTCCGTCTTCAGGAAGGGCTGGGAGAGAGGCTGGAGGAGGAAGACAAAAACTCGGGCCGAAACCCGTGGGAGACCCCGGGGCAAGGGGAGCCTTCCCGCAGGGCCCCCACGAGCCCAGTCCCCCTCCCTGACCAGACACTCACCCCAGCATGGGAAGAGCCCCCATAGCTGGCTCTCCCTCCTCAGCCACGCCCTGCGGTTTCAGCCCCCCAGCCCCGCTCCACTGCTGATCCCCACACTCTTCCCTCCCGCCGCGGCCCAGGCCCCGCAGCTCTTGCAGGCCTCAGGCCCGTGTCATGCCGCTCCTCCACTCGGCTAACTCCCTCTGCTCCTTCAAGCTCATCTCCTCCAGGCTGGTTAGCACCCCTCCTCTGTGCTCCCACAGCCCCCGCCAGCCTGGGATGGTCCTTGAGGACAGGGCCTGACTCTGGGTTACCTCTGGCCCCCAGCACTGCCCAGTACAAGGCTTGGCCTGAGCAGAGCTCAGAGATCAGGTAGAGATAATGCTGGAATGACAGCTCTGACAGCACCATGACATGAGCAGAAGCCTCTGGGGAGGGAAGGGGTCCTCGGGCTGCCTCTCCCCAGCCCTCCCCACAGGGCGGGCCAGTGCTGGCATCACCTCTGGACCCCCCTCACTCAGACTGAAGGTCAGGAAGGACAGGACATCATGGTCATCTGGAAAGGGGGGTAGAGAAGGGAAGGTAAGATTCACCCCACCAGCAGCCCACTTACTCAGCCCTCACCCCCCATGGTATTCCAGGCAGGCAAGAGATCTGGGGGACTCTGGGCAGCTCTGACCCTGGTCTTGCTCACTTCATAGGAAAGAGGTGAAGGTTAGACAAGGAGATGGGTGGGCTGTGAGGGCTGACGCCCACACACAGCCAGAGGTGGCCCCCAGTGAGTGGGAAAACTGGACAGTCCTGGGCTAGAGCCCTGGCAGCAGATCGAGCGACACCCTCAGGCCCCCAGAGCACAGCTGCTACTGGCAGAGGCAACCATACAGTGGCCGCCTCCTCAGCATGGCTCTGACCATGTCAACTCTTCTCCTCAGAAACCTTCCATGGCTCCCCAGTGCCCAGGGTCTAAAGACCAAAATCCTGGCATTCAAGGACTCCCAGCCTCTGGTTGCACCCTGCTCTCCAGCTGTGGGTCCCTCCATGGGCTCTCCATCATATCACATCCCTTTGTTCCACCTCCCTAAATGTCCCTTGTGGCTGTCCTTCCTCCACTTGCCCCACAGCTCCCAGCTATGGGGCTAACGCTGGAATAAAAGCTTCTCGTGTTTTATCCTATTTGAGAATTTCAACATTTCTGCAGGGCAGACATGACCTTCCAGATGGTAACAGAGGCCCAGAGAGGGCTTGGGACTTTCCCAGGTCACACGGTGAGGAAGTGGCTGGCCCCACACCCTGTGCTCTTTAGAAGGTGTGTTCAGGGTGGCTCATAGGTACTGTGCCTCTGCTCTTACCTGCCCAGAAGGCCCTCACCTGCCAGGGTGCTGGTGGCTGCTGAGACCCCAAAGAAACCTCCAGGGGCCAAAATCAGGGGCCCTACATCCATGCAGAACTCATCCGGGTCTCTGGGAGTGAGGCCGCTGTTCACGGATACCTGAAGGGCATGGAGGGAATGAGCCCCTTGCAGATGGAGCCCACTCCTCTCCCCTGACCCCAGCAGGGGGATTGTCCCCACCTCTGACTCACTGGCTCCCTGGCCCTAAAGGAGGGCAGGCAGCCACAGGGCTTGGGGTCAGCATGGCGTGGAGGGGCTCTCCTGCTAGCCCTCACAAGTACGTGCTCGGGCATTAGGATCCTGTGCAGGGAGGAGGAGCCTGTGTAGGTGTTGCCTGTGTGTACCAGGGACCATGTGTGGTGTCACAGGCACGAGTCTGTTGGGGTCTTGGGCACTCACACAGCAACTCTGCAGCTCTGAGCCCTATCATCTGCACTCCCTGCCCAGAGGACCCACAGAAGCAGGAGGGTGACTCACGCGCAGCCTCTGCCCCCAGTAGGTGATCCGTGCTCTGAAGGGGTACGGCCGGTTCCGGAAGTCCCGGTGGCAGGAGCCCAGCACCCGGCCGGCTCCATCCCTGTGGGCACTTGGAATCCAGCCGGGCCACACAGGACCCAAGGCCTGGCCAGCGGGGGAGGTCCCAGAGGCCGTTCTGCCCAGGCCAGCAGGGCCACTCTCCCTCACTGGGATGGGACGTGTCGTTGTTGTCTAGCTTGAGTCTCCCTTGCTGTAGTCTGCTCCCTTAGCAGGAGAGAGGAGCAGCACAGCAAGCCCTGCCTGGCGGAGTGCTGGCACTTGGAGTTTACAGAAGACACCAAGGGCCTCCTGTGACTCTTCCCCAGGGGTCAGAGCCTGGACCAACAGTGGGGTTTCGGCCTTCAATCCCCCAGGCCACCACCTCCTCCCACTGTCTTTCCCTCCCTCTCCTCCCCTTAGACTCCAACTCCCCCTGTGCCTCTGGGTGGGGCTTCTCTTTCCTCTCCGTTCTGCCAATCTTGGACTACAGCAGGACAGACTCAGGACAGACAAAAAGAGACGTGTCCTAGCGGCCAGGGACAATATGACCAGCCTGCTTCCCAGACAGGGGTGGTGCAGCAGGATCTGGGGAGTTAGGAGGACGATGTTGAGCCGAGAGGTCCTGAGTTCCTCTGGGCACAGGGACACACAGACGCTGTTCACACCACAGTGCCTGTCCCTGCCGCCTTCAGCCAAGAGGGAGGCAGCACAGAGCAGGGAGAAGCCAGCTCCAGAGTGGCCACCTGCGTTTGCACTGCTAGCTCTGCGACCTTGGGCAAGTTACCTCTCCTCTCCAAACCCCAGCTTCCCATCTTTAAAATGAGGATAATGATTGAAACTGCCCCATAACATTGTTATGAGTGTGAACTAAGATAATGAATGTGAATGCTTGGCACCGTGCCTGGGGTACAGTAAGCCCCGCTCCATAAACGTTAGCAATTATTCTAATTGTTATGAGCTAAGGGATGTTTGCGGAGAGACACTGATGAACCGGCCCAGCTACTGAGGAGGCAGCCAGGCTGGGGAGGGCTGGGAAGCCACGTCATCTGGGAGAAAGGGAGGGTGTTGGCAGGCAGGCAGCCTGGGCAGGGGGAGGGCGTGGACTCTCCACAAGCAAGTCTGGCCTCAAATCTCAGCTCTGCACACCACTGTGTGACCTCAGGCAAGTTACTTCACCTCTCTGGCCTCAATGTCCTCACCTGTAACTGGGGACTAATAATCCCCACCTCTCAAGAATGGTGGGGATCAGATATGATGTGAGTGAAAACACTCAGCCCAGGCCCCACCTTGTGTCATCTCACTCCCCCCATGACCTGGGGCTGTTGGTTGAGTCAATTGAGGACTCAGTGGGGTGGTTCCCAGGAAGAAGAAGCAAACTCTAGTCCCAGCCTGGAGGAGGCAGCTGTGACCGAGTGGGAGGGAGTCCCAGGGCAGCAGCCATCAGCTCAGATGAGAGGCCAGCAAGGAAGGCACAGCCCCAGGAGGGGTGGGCTCCCTGTCAGAGGCTGGGGCAGGGGCACGAGTGGGCAGTGTGGGTAACTGCTGAGCCCCTCGCAGCCCAGGAATGGGGTTGGGGTCAGTCCAGACAGGCCCTTACCCAAGCGGCTCGTAGGGGGTGTGCCCATCACTGGTCAGCATACGGATGGCAGGGCTGCTCTGCATGGGAGGTGGCAAGCAGTCTGAGCCATGGGCACAGGGAGGAGGGTGAGGGTGTGGGGGGGTGGATGGGCAGGAGACCACTACTCACCTGGATATCCTCAGCCGAGGAGTCGAAGAGGATCCCGATGCCGTCCCAGGAGGCCAGCACCCCGAGGACAGAGCCTACTTGACCCCTGTCCTGGGTGTACCACACGGCCTGCGGGTGCCCAGCTGCTCAGCTCAGGGGTCGCTGCAGGACCCTGGAGCCCCGGGCTCGCCGCCTGCCTCCCTGACTCACCCCCTCTGCTGGGCCCTGGTGGGGGCCACTCACCATGCCCTGAGCTCCCCGGCGCCCAGGCCCGGTCACCCTCATCTGCATCTCCACCTCCCAGGCGGAGAAGAGGACTGGGGCCCTGCTCCACACGGCGCCACTCCGGTTCCGCATGGATGGGGCCAGCCGCACTTCCTCCAGGCCTGGGATGGCATCTGTGGACCAGGGCAGCTCAGGGCCTGGGCCCCACCATCCCCTGCTCCCCCATTGTTCTCTCTCATTGGCCTGTGCCGGGCTCCTGGAGGAGTAAGGAGGTAACACCAAGGCCGGCCATGAAACCACAGACACAGGAATCCACTGAAGTGGGAACTGGAGCCCAGCACAGCTGGAGGGGCCTTTGCCAGGGGAGGGCAACGAACGCCAGAGCTATGGGGAGCACTTTACCTGCGTTCCCACTTAAGCCTCACCACAAGTCTGTGCGGCCTGTTTTTATAAGACCCCATTTTACAGATGGGGAAACTGAGGCTCAGAAAATTCAAGGAACTAAGTGGATTGGAACTCAGCTCCATCTGACTCCAAAGTACAAGCTTTTTCCACCACGAGAGAGGTTAGTGTCCAACCTTTCCTGTCTCAGATGACGAAACTGAGGCCCCAGGAGGGAAAGGACATGCCTGAGATCTCAGAACACAGGAGAGCACTTTGAGAGGAGAATCACGTGGAGGGTCAGGACTCCGGGCTGTGGAAACACAGAGGGTCACTCCAGTGTGGCCAAATGAGGCTGGGGGCTGTCGGGGGGCAGGCCTGGGGGGCATTCCAAGGGGAGAAAAGCATGAAAGCAAAGGTGAGAACTGGCCCGCAGACTGTGAGGAAAACGTGAAGGATGGAATGTGTGTGTGAGAATTATTGCTGGTGGCGGGGAGGGGGAGAAAGGAGCAATATCTGGTGAGAGGGAGGAAAGGGGAAAGAAACTGAGGCAGGCTTGGCAGGGACTAGGGGAAGGGAGATCAGAGGCCCCATCCCAGCTGGCTCCCCACCCCTAGGCCTGCCAGCCTGGAACCTGGCCCAGGGCCCAGTCCCTGCCAGGACTTTCCTGAGACTGCTAATCCAGCCTGTTTGCTTGGCAAAGGCCAGGGCTGGGGGTGGGGAGGCTCAGAGGCTGTAAAGCCAGAAGTCCTTGGGGCCCTTGGAAGTGACTTGCAGAAGGCAAGGATTGCCACTGTCTGCTGCACTGACACATCTGCCTTATGTAGACTGTTCACGGGACTGGCCCCAGACTGGGCCCCGTGAGTGACTCAGTCCTGTGTCTCTGGGCTGGGCACAGAGGGGTGTGAGCGTAGGAGTCTGATAAAAGGATGAGTGAATGAATGAATGAAAAGACAAAGAGTGTATCACTGGGTGATCTTGGAGAATGTGCCTCTGTCCCCCTACATGGTCTGTGACATGTGACAGACTTGGCAAGGCCCAGAGCAGTGAGTACAGTACTGGCCCTGCTATCCTGGCCCTGAGGCAGGGCCTGGCTTGGTGCTGTGAGAAACAGCCCCCTCCTTTGCCTACCTCCTGTGCCTCTCTGCAGGAAGACTGGGCCAAAGACCCTGCTGATGGGGTCTCCCATCTTAGAGGGATATTTGTCCTGGTCTCAGTTAGGACTTGTGCTGTTTTTCGCAGAACTTACATCTCAGAGACACAGATATACACAATTGATCTGTTTTCTCTCTTTGCTTTCTCTGCTAGGGGCCTCTAAACCAAATCTATGGCCCAACTCTGAAGGGTAGGCAGACCTCACAGCATGTTTTGGCAACAAACTACATTCCTGGACTCATTTCATGCCCCAACTGTAACCCTAAGTCTTATCCTTATGGCTTACTCTTAATTTAAGCTCCTCTCTATTGCATAGGCCCTTGTAAGTCCTCAAAATCCTTTTGAACAAGACCAAGTAAAAGACAGACTCTCTGTAGGCCTGGATTTGGAAAGTCCAGAACACAACCTGTGGGCTAAGATGCTTTCATGCCTGCTTCCACCCAACACGCACACAGGGCAGGTGCCCTCTTTGGCAAAACAGCTGGCCATGAGGATGGCTCCCTGCAGGCAGCCCCCCAGTGCTCATGGACAGCCATGGGCCCGACAGCATGGAGCCAGGAGAGCGGAGCTTTGTGCTGGTCCAAGTTGCCTTGTGTCCATATGTCTGGGACTCAGCGTGTGAGCATGTGTGTGTGTGCGTGTGTGTGTGTGTTTTCACAGGTCCAAGAGGCAGAGCAGGGGAGGGGGCCCAAGGAGAGGCAAAAGGGGGAGAAGAGAGAAGTCCTAGGATGGAGAAGGAGAGAGGCAGAGAGGAGAATGAGGCTGGTGAGTGGGAGTGCGGTTGTGGGTAGAGCAGGAGAAAAGCCTGGGAGGGGTCCTGGGGCCCTGGCACTGCCCGCCCAGGTCTGGCCGCATCTTAGGCAGAGGCTAGTACTGGTAGGCCCACTCCCAGCAAGTCCCAGCAACCCAGAGCTGGTCAGCCCCTCCAGCACTCTGAGGAACCCTGGGCATGGCTGGTTCCCACCCCATCCCTCACCTCCATGATGGCTCCAGAAAGGTATTCCAGCCCCAGGCAAGGCCAGCCTTGGTCCTTTGAAGCTGAGCTTGTACTCAAACCTTCGCTGAGGAGGACTGCCCGCCTCAGGGCTGTGGGGGTCCAAGAGCAGGAGGAGGAGAAGGCAGAGGAAGGGATTAGGGCCAGCGACCACTAGCATTGTGAAGGGATCTGGTGGCCGGGCCCCAGGTGGATCCGCAGCTGGGAGGCCAGGGAGGGGCTCCTGGGACTGGGTCAGCTAGGGAGGAGCTGGGGATGGGCCAGGAGCTGGGTTTTGGCCTGTCCTCTCCCTCCCTCCCCAACACAGACATCCTGTTCCTTCCAGGCCAGAGCTCAGGCCCCGCCCCCCTCACCTCCAGCCTGATGGAGGCAGCCAGACTCCTGGCCAACCTGACCAGGCTTGGGCCATCTGTCCTCCTTCCCTCAGCTCCAGCACTGAGGGGCCTCGGGGATCCCCGGGACAGGCCCACCCTTCAGCAGCTGACCTTTCCTCCCTGCTCGGACGGGCCTGCACATCCTGCCCCTTCCTGCAGATGGACCTCCCCACTGTCTGGCCATCATCCGCCCCACCCCATCTCTCTGCTGTGACGCTCAGCTTTCTCCCATAGTCCGAAACACTCATGCCTCCAAGACACCGGGTTTCCTCAACAAATAGATTGTTCTTGAAAGAGAGTCTTAAGACACAGAGCAAATGAATGCAACGTGTGGGCCTTGTTTGGAGCCTAATTTTAACCAACCAATTAGGGAAAAAAAAAAAGACAATTGGGGAAATTTGAAGAATGGGTATTTGATTAAATTAAGGAATTAATTGTTAAAAATTTTAGAAGTAATAATGGTATTGTGGTTATGTTTTTTAAAAGTCTTTTGTCTTCTGGAGAAACGTACTAAAGCTTTTGGATGAATTGCTATAATATCTAGGATCTGCTTCCGAATAGCCCAGAGCTTTCGGGGAATGGGGTGTGGATGGCACAGGATTGGCCTTGAGCCGATAACTGTTCAAGTTGGATGGTGGGGATGTGGGAGTTCATTATATTCTTCTCTCTACTTTTATGTATTTGATAATTTCCATGATAAAAAGTTTTTAAAAAGTAAGAAATCCTTTATTTCAAATATTTTCATCCAAATAAATGTTGGTTTTCCAGAGTGGCTCGTTTGCCAAGAATCCTGGATAGCTAAAGTTTTACTGTACTTTGTGAGTCCCCGGTAGGATTAAGCTACTGAAGCTCTACAAATTAAAATCAAGGCTGTAAATGGGAAATTTTAGGACATGCTCAAAGAAAAACTTCATTTCTCAACACTAAGCCCTCAGGCACCTCCACCCGCTCTCCCGGCACCTTCACAGCCAAGCTGTGGAAAGGTGGGCCCACTCTGGCCCTGCTCCTCCCCTCCCCCTCAGTCCCTCCAGCTCCTGCCCCCACCACCCAGTGAAAACTGCTCCAGCGAGGCCTGACAATGGTCTGTTCCCTGCACCTGGTGGCCACTTCCCACCCGGTCTCTGCAATATGAAGTACTGTGGACATCCAGCCCCTCATCCCCTCCCCTGCCCTATGCTCTGAGACCCCCCCAGGGCTCCCCTGCCTCTGCCCCACCCCCACCCCGCCTGTTAGCTGCTCCTTTGCCTCTGCTCTCCCTGCTGGCTCCTGACGCTGGGGCCTCTTAACGGCTGCGTCTCTTCCTGAATCTCCATGTGCTCCCTGGCCCAGCTTGTCCACCCCCATGGCTTCAAGCACCCTTGCTGTGCCCGTGATCCCCAAATCTCTACTTTCAGCCTGGCTTCTGCCCGAGCCGCAGGCCCGCATGAATGTCTAACTCTGCAGGGGACATCTCTGCTTGGATGTCACAAAGGCCCCCAGGCGACATGTCCAAACCAAACTCCTCTTTTTCAACCCCCGGCCCATCCTCCTCCAGAGCTGGGGTCTCATGGTTGGTGGCCCCCCTTGTCAAGCCAGAGACTGGAATCCCCCAGATGCCCTCCTCTGCCTCACCCCCTCCACAGCCATCAGCAAGCCCTTCAGTTTGCTCTTGCCACTCTCATACTACGTGACCTGATTCTTTAATCTCTTCAGTCCTCAGTTTCCTCACCTGTAAAATGGAGATGATAGAGTGGCTTGGAGGGTTACATGAGATAACACACCTATTGTGCTTGGGACAGGGCCTGGCGACAGCGAGCGCTCAGCTCAGGAAAACATCAGCTGTGTTAATCTTCCTCGCCTCCTACTGGCTTCCTTATCCCAGGCCGCCATCAATCACCTCCTGCCTGGCCAACTGCAGCCTGTCTCCCTGTCTCCACTCTGGACACTCCCCTCTCCGGCCAGATGGCTGCCAGAAAGATCTTTCTAAAATGAAGGCTGACCGTGTCACTCTCCCGTCCTAAACCCTTCAGTTGCTCCTGGTCATCTTTGCATAAAGTAAAGCTCCTCAGGGGCCTGCAGAGCCAGGTGGGGGCTGGGCCCGGCTTTCCCTTCAGCTTGACTTGCTCCCAAACAGCACCCCTCGGCACCATGGCCCCGGCCAGACTGAAGCGCCTCCGTGGGCTGTTGCACCTCACCACCTTGCCCTGGCAGTGCCCTTCCTTTGCCAGGATGGCCCTCACTCTCTGTCCCTGCCCCTCCTCCAAGTGTCTGAGAGGCCGCCCTTCGCCTCCCTCCCCTGCCTCATTGGCTCGGTGCTGGTGGTGGGTGAGGCCCACCAGATTCCTGGGCACCAAGTTGAGTCCTGAGAGGGATCCCCCATCAGTCACGAGCTCCTTGAGGGTGAGAACTGTTCGCTCATCCACGATATGCCAGTGGCCGGCACAGAGCAGAGGGGAAGGATGAGAGAAAACAAAGAGGAAGAAGACACAAAAAACCATCCACTAAGTGAGAAAGGAGCATGATGAAGGACTCGAGGGTGGGGCTCACGTGCCACCAGGTAGAGAGCTGGGAGATCCGCTCCCTGCACCTGCATTCCCGCAAGGCCCCATCAGCTGGACCCTGCCCCTTCACTCCTGTTTGTCCCACCTGGTCCAATTCTGTTATGTCGCCTGCCTGGCCCCTCTTGTGACCCCATGGCCAGGGGCACCACTGCCGGTTTCTGCGCCCAAATTGGCTTGGACCAGCTAGTGAGAGCCAATGGTCAAAATCTCCCCACCCCTGCCTTGAGTGAGGTCAGGTTGGTAGCTGGAAATGGGCTATGGCGAGAGTGCACCACGGCTATCAGCAAACTAAATTGGAGCCTCCTCCTCCTCTCCCCCGGCTCCTGCCCTGCCCACCCCCGCCCTCCACCTGCCTCTCTCCTCTGCAGTGTCACCAGGACAGTCCCGCCACCACCGCAGCCCATTCCCACTCCTGCTCTGGATTCCAGCCACCCCTCCCTGCTCTAAGGAAGTCTCCACCTTCCATCACTACCACTGCCCCCCTATACTTTCTGCCTCCCTCCCAGTACGCAGACTCGAAGGTAAATGTCTTTCCCTTTGGCAAATTTGCTCAAGACTTGGCCTTCTTAAAAATCCTCTCATTCTCTTTCCTCTCCATTACAGCTAAATTTCTCAGGATTGTCGACCTTCCTGAACTGCTCGCACCCTCCTCCAGCCATTGTCATCTGGAATCTTCCCCTACACAACTCAGGTCTTGCTCAAGTCACCAGCGACCTCCTTGTGGCTAACACCAAGGGGCTGCCTCAGTCTCCCTCTCCCGTGTTTCCTGGGAAGCAGGGACCTGCTGGCTCTTCCCTCCCGGTCTGTCCCTCGGCCTCTGCGGCAGGGACTCCTGCTTCCCCATCTGCACCTTGCCTGGCCAGCCTTCTCTTCTTGACCTGTGAATGCTGAGCTCTCGCAGGCTTGGTCCTGGGCCCTCTTCTCTTCTGCATGTCCTCCCAAAGTGACGTTCTCCTTGCCATGGCTTCAGGGACAAGCCGCTCGCTGGTAACTCAAATTTCCCTCTCCAGCCTCTGGCTTCCAGTAACTTATTCAACTCCTCTCGGCGGTTTCAAGGCACACTTAAAACTCAACATGCCCTTAACAGAACTCACGTCTCCTCCTAAACACGACTCGCGTGGTTCCCTCACTCAGAGGGTGCCCTCCACCCCTGCCCTCCCACATCCATCCTGCTTGTCAGGAGTTGCTATGGCTCCATTCCCTCCTTCACCTTCATCCCGAATCCATTACCAAGTTCGGTCAGTTTCACCTCTTACATCCCTCTGGAGTCCGTCCACTCCCACCATCCTCTCCCACGTGGATGAGTCCTCTCTGTGCTCCCTCACACCTTCTCCACCAGTAACCAGGGTGGTCATTTCAAAAATACGTATCTGACACATCACCCTCCTGCTCAGAACCCGTCACCAGCTCCCCATGGCTCTCAGTTTGAAAAAAGCCAGTCCTTGCCACAGCCTCACCTCCCAGCCCATCTCACACCTCTCAGCCTCAGGCTCGCTGTACATCTTCACTGGCCTTCTCGGAGATGCTGGGACAAGTTGCCTTCCCTCCAGTCTCAGCATCTCTTTCTGGAATACAGCTACCGGCCCCCTGACCTCCCCGTACTTCCCGTTCATCTTTCTGATCACAGCTTACATGCCGCCTCTCCCAAGAAGCCCTCCCTGATCTACAGACAAGATCCGATTCCCATGTTATACGTGTTTCTTTCATAGCACTCATCGGCTTGTAATTGTCTGATTGTCTTCCCAACTGTGAACTCCACAGGGTCTGTTTTGCTCACTGCTGAACCCCAGTCCTAGCACACAGCAGGTATTCGAATATTTGTTGTTGAATGAACGGTCTGGTTTTAGAAACATGAGTCTGGCAGTGTGCAGAGAGCACGGACTGGGGGAGGCGAGGAGGCTGCTGCTCTGGGCCAGGGGGAGACGACGGCTGGACCGCAGTGGGCTGAGGAGGAGCAGACACACGAGGCACACTGCGAAGTCAGAACTCCCCGGATTTCAGGTCCTGTTGCCTGGGACAGGAGGGTCAGAGCCCCAACGGAACAAGGGGTCCCCCAGCTGCCTGTCTCAGGGAATGAAGTGAGCCATGCCTGACCCTCAGAGGTTCTGCACAGACCACTGCTCCTGGGAACCTGGCTGAGGGGGTGAAAACGCCACGGCTGGTCCTCATTCTCCATCTGTGCCCCCCAAGGCGAGGCAGGGAAGGCCCTCACCTTTGTATCCTCAGGCACGGGGCTGGGCCCTTGGGGGTGGGGCCAGGGTAGCGCTGTTATACCACAGATGAACTGCGAAAACCACCAGCAGCTCAGAGTCTCCCCCACTCCCAGGGTCAGCATCTTCTCTAAGGCATGAGACATTTATCTTGCCTCCCACCAGCGGGACCCCACCCTGCCTGGTCAGGCCTCGCCTCCTCCCCCGTCCTTGGCTCCAGCCCTCCACGTGCTGATGGCTTGAACAACATGGCAGGAGAGGCAGCCAGGACCCCCAGGCATTACCCTGTGGACAGGGTCCCCCAAGCCCGGACGGCCCAGGACCAAGCCTGGGCCGCAGCAGGACGGTGGGGGCGGGCGGGGGGCAGACACAGGACACTCGCTCGTGCAGCTGACACAAAGCGGCGGCTACATCTCCCGGCCGTGCTCCCCACCCCGCCCCCTCACAGGGCAAGCACAGCCCCACTCACAGAGACAGGGGGATGAACAAGATGGCACGGGGACGGGGGCCGGGTGGACAGGCAGGCTCGGCGGAGGAAGCGCCGAGGCTGGGCAGCGGTGTCCTCATGGAGTGGTTTATTACAATTCCATCTCACAAGGCGGGTGGGCGGGCGGCAGCGGCACGTGAACTCCGAGCCCTGACAGGCGGCTGCCGCGGGCGCATGCAAACAGTGCAACACGGTCAAGCGCAGACACGGGGCGACCGAGGCGACACGGGACACGGAACACGGAATGGGGAACAGGGCTGGGGCGATGGGTCCCTAGAGAGGGGCCTGGTCTCCCCAACGCTTGTGGGCAGGACAGGAAAAATAAGATTCGTACTTCTTGTAAAATGCCCATTTGCTGGGTACTTTCTTTCTTCTTATCTTGAAAAATAATAAAAAATAAACACACGGAAAAAAATCTGAAAAAAGGAAAGGAATAAAACTCTAAGAAGGCGCGAGATGGGAGGCCAGGGAAGCCTGACCGTGGTAGGGGGCATGTGCCGCCCGCTCCTCAGCACCCTCCCTTCTTGGCCTTTTGGTGGGGCTCCCGAAGCCCCACAGGTGGGTCCATGAGAGAAGGTGCCAGGCCTAGGCGGGGTCCCTGGGGGGCCAGAGGGGGCACAGGCTGGGACAGAGGAAAGAGGCCCACCAGCCCGCCGGGCTCAGTTCAGGTTTGGGCCCAGCGAGTGGGGGCTCCAGGTCCACAATCTATCCAGGTTCAGTCCCCACAGGCCCAAGACCTGGGCGGAGGCCGGCGGTCACAGGTGCAGCTCGTGGGTTTTGATGTGCTCGAGCTGCTCACGGAGCTGCAGGAAGGAGGGCCGCGCGGCGGCGTCCAGGTGCCAGCAGTTCTTCATGACTTCGTATACTGCAGGCGGGCAGCCGTCGGGGGCGTCCATCTTGTAGCCCTTCTCCACCCGAGGGACGACGTCCTTCAGGGGCTGCGGGCAGGCGGGTGGTATGAGTCGGTGCAGGCCCTAACCCTGGAGGGGACCCCTCCCTCAGCTTCAGGGATCCCCTTCAGCTCCGCCTCAGACCCAGGCCCAGGAAGTGGTCTGCAGCTCCGGGCAGGTCTGCAGCTGCCAGGCCTCAGACTGGGGAGGCAAGGCCAACGAGGCCCCCTCCCTTGCCACCTCCTCCCTTGCTGCAAGCCCCACTCTCAGCCCCAGGCATGCCCCGGTCCCAGCGTCCACACTCACGATTCTTGGATAAGGCACTCGCCCGAAGGAGTAGATTTCCCAGAGAAGGATTCCGAAACTCCACACGTCAGACTTGGTGGAGAACTTCTGCCGTGTGGATGGGAGAAGCGGTGTCAGATCCCGGAATATGGGGCTGGGGGTGACCCAGGACCCCCGTCCACCACCACTCAGGCCCTGGAACGAGGCCTGCCCACCTTCTCTCTCAGGGCCTCCGGGGCCGTCCACTTGACTGGCAGCTTGCCTGTGTCCTGGGTGCTTGAGGCCTCCTTGGTGAGGCCGAAGTCGCTGACCTTCGCCACGTTGTCCTCAGACACCAGCACGTTGCGGGCAGCCAGGTCCCGGTGCACGAAGTTGTTGCCCTCCAGGTACTCCATGGCCTCGCAGACGTCTCTGCGGGTGAGCCAGCCATGTGTCCCCTCAGATGGGGCTCCCATAGCCGGGCAGGGCCCCCACCCCCCAGGGGCTGCTTCACTCACAGTGAGAACTTGAGGAGACAGTCTCCGCTTAGCACCGACCGACCCCGCGACCGCAGATAGTCCACCAGGCTCCCCTGGGGCAGGACAGACAGACCCACCGGCCCCATAGGTCAGACTGCCCTCTAGCCCTCAGGAACAGTGGGCCTGGGGCTGGGTAAAGGGGGACACCCAAGGGAAGTGTGAGGAGAGGGAAGGAGCAGGGGAGGGCGCAGGACATCACTTCTGCATGAACATTAGCGTCTACATGCTGGACACTGTGCTCAGCAACTTTCATGCATTCTCTCTCTTAATTCTCATAAATCCCCGAGGTAAACTTTATCATTATCTCCATTTCACAGATAAGGAAACTGAGGCTTGGTGAGGTGACACAACTTGTCTGAGGTCATAGTGAATAAATGACAAGCAAGGACAAAATCTAAGCCTGGTGACTTTGAAGCTCAGCTGGAGGGAGGGGACTGAAGGAGCAGGGGCCCAAGGGTGCGATAGGTAGCCTGGGGCAGTGGGAAGCCCGAGCCCCAGGGTTCAGCTCTAGGATGGGGGCTGGATCGGGGGCAGGCGCACACCTTGGCCATGTACTCAGTGACGATGTAGAGCCCGCCTTTCTCCTCCACGATCACACCCAGAAGCTGTACCAGGTTGCTATGCCGAAGTTGCCTGGGGCAGGACGGGGGTGGTCAGGGCCTGCTAAGCCTCCCCATCACCTCCCGGCCTGGGGCGACCTCCCTACCCATCCCCTGCCCCTACTCACGTCATAACCGAGGCTTCAGCCAGGAAGGCCTGGGCAGTGGCGTCATTCTTAATGCACTTGACAGCGACTTTGTTCCCTCGGTAATCACCCAGCATCACATCTGGGGGAAGAGTTGGGGGTTGTTCCCTGGACTCCCCATAGCCCCTTGGCCCCTCCCAGGGCTCGCAGCCCCTCCCGCTCACCTCCAAACTCCCCCTTCCCAATGGTCTGCAGCAGCTTCAGGTCCTTCATGTTCAGTGCCCAGCCGCCTGGTGGGGGGGGGGGGCGTCGCGTGAGGGGTGTTGAGACCAGAGCAGGGTTCACAGCAGGGGTGACAGAGGCAGACTGGATTATAACATGTCCCTGGAGGCCTCCAGAGCCTCCGGGGTAGGGGGAGTGCCAGGAAGCCTGGGAGGGAGGAGGCGGGGAAGCAAGTGAGGACTCGGGGTGGGGGTGGCACTCACTGCGGAAGAACTCATCCTGGGCCGCCACTGTGCCCTCCATGACCTTTGGCTTGATGAGGCGAGTACAGAGTCCATCTGCATCTGAGGTGTAGTGCTGCAAAGGGCAGGGCCGGCACTCAGAGCCAGCCCCCAGAGCCCACCGGCTGGAACGCACATGCACTGCCCACGTCTGACCACTAGAGGGCGGCAGAGGCTGGTCCCACCCAGCCTGGACTGGCTTTGGGTGGGGAGGGCTCCCTACTTCTGGCAGGGCAGGGGTTAGGGAGGCCCCAGACAAGCGGCCCATTTCCCATCCCACTGCACACCTAAGTACTGGATAGACACCCTGTTGTTGCTACCCGTCTGGGCCTCACAAGCATCCTGAGGCAAAGGGCAAACCTGGCTCAGTCCAGACACCAGCCTCTAGACAAGTGTGCCCAAGACCCTCCCCTGCCACAGGCCAAGCCAGGCCAGCAGGCGGAAGGAGCTGAGAGTGAGTGCAGGTGGCATCTGGGCGGCTGCCTGGGGCTACTGGATACCAGGTGTGGCCCGGCCAGGGCTGGCCTCGGGAGCTGCAGGGACGTGTGGGCATCCATGCAGGTACAAGAGCCCGGGAACCTGGCCATCAAGGTATAGCTCATGAGGACATGCTTATATACACACTCTTGGGCATGTAGTTCTGTAAGTGGCTGGAAGGAAGCTAGTTCTGAGGTCAGACAGACTCAGATTCAAGTCCTGGCACCACCAATTTATAGCTGTGTGACCTGAGGCAGGTCCCTTAACTGCTCTGAACCTTCATTTCCTGAAAATGAAGATAGTGCCACACTCCCTGTTGTGGCACCGTGGGGTCAGAAATCAACCCAGCAGGTGCTCCACCGAGGGTGAGAAAGTGCGGGCTCACAGAGGCTGCATAACACGCCCGAGGTCACCAGCCGGAGGTGCTGGGACTGGAGACTGGAGCCGAATGCAGGCCGGCGTGGGTGCTCACCTCCACCAGCTGCATGAGGTTCTCGAAGTACACCTCCTCGTCGATGCTGAGCTTGCTGGCGTGGTACATGATGCGGTAGTGCTCCACCTTGCCGTCGCAGCTCACACACAGCGTGTAGTCCCCAGGGTAGTTGGTGCTCTCCCGCACCAGGAACAGGCCTGTCTCCGGAGGGCACAGGAGCCGCTCTGCCTGCTCCCGTGTGATCTTGCCGTGGAACCAGCTGTGGGGCGGCCAGGCCAGGGGTCATGGAGGCCCGAGGGTACCAACCCCAGGGCACCTGCCAGCCTCCTGATGCATCTGCCAGGCTCCACTTTCTTTTTTTTTTTTTTTTTGTGAGGAAGATCAGCCCTGAGCTAACATCCATGCCAATCCTCCTCTTTTTGCTGAGGAAGACTGGCTCTGAGCTAACATCTGTGCCCATCTTCCTCCACTTTATATGGTACGCCACCAGAGCATGGCCTGACGAGTGATCTATCAGTGCGCGCCCAGGATCTGAACCTGGGCCGCCAGCAGCGGAGCGCACGCACTTAACCGCTACGCCATGGGGCTGGCACCCAGGCTCCACTTTCTGAAGGTTCTCCTTGGTTCGGCCCCTTCCCACTGGCTCACTCAGGCACTGGGGGCCCTCATCTTCTGCTTCTGTCCCTTCTTTCTTCAGTCCTCCCGGCCCCGTCCTCCCCTTTGAGGTCCAGCACCCACACCCTTCCTCTCATCTCCAGAAGCCCTCACGGTCATTCCTGCCCCTTACTCTCCCCGTGTCTTCCTCTGACTCTCTTCTGGAGGAACCAGGGCTCCTCGTCCTCCTTCCTTCCCAGACTGGGAGATCCCACCCCGCCCCGCCCCAGCGGTACTCACGGCATGAGGCTGAGTTTGGTGCCCGCCTTCACGCCCTCCCGCTTCTGGACGTAGTTGGCCGGGATGATGCCCTCACGGCCCACCTTGTTCTTGGCTTTGTACCAGTTGGGGTCCTGGGGAGAGGGCAGCCCAGACACGCTCTCAGGCCCACCCTCCCCTACAAGGGAGCCAGGACCCAGAGGGAACACCCAGAGGTGGGAGAGGGTGGTGGTGGGCGGGTGAGGTCCCTGATTACCTTGGTGACAGCCACAATGGTGAGCACATCTCCTTTGCAGAAGGGAAGGTCTTGCTCTGCAGTGCCGTGGAAGTTGTACTTGGCAATACATTCTGTACCGGATGGCCAGGCGGCCTGCAGAGCAGGCGACAGGTGGGCGGGTGCAGCCCAGGCCCCCTCCCCACCCACCTGCCTGCACACCCTCGCGGCCACAGCCTCTTGGCTGCCCTCCATGAGCCTGGGTGAGGTGCCCCTCCCCCTGAGAACCCTGGGTCCCTTTCAGCTGGGGTTCCCCCACTGCCCCCAGACCTGTGCTCCCATCTTGAGGGCCTTGCATCTGACAGCACACCCTGGAATTCTACTTTGTTGAAAGCCAGGGCTGGGAAAAGGGGAGCAAATCGATCTACGCCTTCCTTTTCTCTCCCGCTCAACACTCCCCTGGGGGTGTGGGGACACTCAACTGCCCGAGGCCCCTGCCCCTGCGGTACCTGTATTGCCGACATCTTCTCAGAAGATCTGGCGTCCCCGTGTCACAGGAAGGCCGCCGTGTCACTTGGTACCATGAGAGCTGCAGGGATAAGGGGAAGATTGAGGAGTGGTGTGAGGAGATCCCCCTCAAGCCACTGAGATCCCACTCCTTCCCCAGAGCCATGTGAACAGGTGCCAAAGGCTTCCAGAGCTGACACTTGGGGCAAGGACCATCCTCTCCAGTCTTGGCAGGCTGAGGGCACTGGATAGGGGAGCAGGCAGGAGCATGAGGGCCGAGGACCCCCAGGGAGAGAGGGGCCACCAACCCTAAGGCCACAGGGGGACTTACGGCCCGAAAGAATGGCCAACAGAGGCAAAGGAGGCTCAGGGTAGTTAGTGAGCAGCCCCAAACCTGGATGCTAACTAGTCTGTAGAGGGGGAGCCAGGGCAGCTCTGTGAACCTGGGGCTGGTGCTCTGTGACTCAGGCAAGCACTCGTCCTCTGTGGGCCTTTTAGTTACCTTGCCTATAAAAACTTGTCCAGGCAGCATCTCTGTAAATGTACACCGACCCCACAGCCCAGTCATCCCACTTCTAGGCATACACCGAGAGAAAAGAGGACAGGGGTCCTCTGAGACAGGCACGGGTACTCATAGCAGCACAATCTGTAATAAACCTCAAGCTGGGAACTGCCCAGAAGCCAGCCAAGAGTAAGATGGGTCCACTGTGGTTTATTCACAGAACGGAATACTGTACAGCAGCAAACACAAATGAACTACAGCTATGGAACAACACTGATGAATTTTTTTTTTTTAATTTTTTAAAATTTTTTTTGTGAGGAAGATCAGCCCTGAGCTAACATCTGCCAATCCTCCTCTTTTTGCTTAGGAAGACTGGCCCTGGGCTAACATCTGTGCCCATTTTCCTCCACTTTATATGGGACGCTGCCACAACATGGCCTGACAAGCGGTGCGTCGGTGCGCGCCCGGGATCCGAACCTGGGCCGCCAGCAGCGGGGCACGCGCACTTAACCGCTACACCATGGGGCCAGCCCCACTGATGAATTTCTAAACCTAACGTTCACCAAGAAGCCAGACACAGAAGAGCACATGCCCTGTGATTCCATTTGTAAAAAGTTCAAAATCTGGTCAAACCCCCGGTGCAGGATGGCGACTGCCTTGGGGGGCGACAGTGACCAGAGGGGTGAGGGGGCCTCTGGGTGCTAGTTACACGGATCCTCTGGGCCCAGTGAGGGGGTGGGTCCACTCTGTGGCCATTCACTGAGCTGTACCCTTGTGATTGGAGCACTTTTCGGTGTACATGTTGACTTCAATAAACTTGACTCCTCAAAAAAGCTACCCCGGCCAACCCAGGCCCCAAGAGCAGCAAGCCAACCCGTGCTGCACACACATACCAGCCCAGAGCTCCCTCCACCACCATCATCTTCCCAAACACAGCCCCGAGCCCCTTATCCCTGTCTCAGGAAGCAGAGGGGCTCGGGCTACTTTCCCTTTTTACAGATGAGGAAACTGAAGCTTAGACAGGGCCGGTGACTTCTCTATGGTCACAGTGTGTTAGAGAAACGCCTCCATGCGCCTCCCAGGTTCCCAGGCTCATGTGACAGGATGGATGAGGTCTGGGGGCCGGGCTGATGGCCACAAACATCACCACTGCCCCAGGCCAGGCAGAGGGAGGAGACATCTGAGTGCAAGTGCCCAGAGGTGCGAGGGGAGCAAGGACTGCAGAGCTTAGGCGGGCTTCCTGGAGGAGGGAGCGCTGGAGGTGAGCCCTGAGGACTGAGAGCTTAGACACGCAGAGGGCAGGCTGGAGAAGGCACCCCAGGTTGGTGTGACTGCCTGAGCAAAGGTATCGGGGTAGAGACGGGCACAGCTGTGAGAAACTGGCCTGGCTGGAAGCCCACGCTGAGGGAGGCTGGAAGACAGACCCTGCCCGTCTGGGGCTCTCAGACCCTGAGCTTCCAGAGTCCACTCCCGAGCACCCTGCCAGCCCACCATGGGGGACGGTTTCGAGTGGGCCTGGTATAAACCTAGCAGGGCGGCAGGAATCAAATGCCAAAGTGAGGAAGCAGGGCTTGCTTCTGAGGGCCATGAGGCTCGGGGGCCTCAGTGGGGGAGCGTGTGGTCTTGGAGACAGACAGCTGGGGAGAATAGAGCCGGGGAGAACCACCAGGCTCTCCCTGATGCTCGAGTTGGGCACACCTAATTCTGTCGAGTGTGCCACTGGGGAGAATGACTGGATTCTTGTGAGCCTCACATCCCTCACCCTGAAAGGGGGTCCCTGCAAGCAGGCTGTGGAAGGAGAGGGACGAGACCCAGACTTAGAAGTCTCTGGCGCAGGGCCTGGCAGGCACCTCCCCCCGCCGCCCCCGGAAAAAAGGGCTTCCCTTTCTCCCAGAACACACAGTGCTTCCCGTGCCCAGAGGCCGGCCCGTCAACCTCTGCCGTCTAGAGAGGGAAACTGGGGTCCAAGGAGGGTGAGCCTGGACCGCCCCCCAGACACACACAATCACACGACTGAGCCACCATGGATAGAGAAAGCACCCCCTGGGCTCCCGAGGACCACAGGCTGTGCAGAGTTGTGCTCTTCTTATCCCCATTTTATAGAAGCAGAAACTGAGGCTCACGAGATTGAACGACTTTCTCGAAGTCACACAGCTAGTGAGGGGTGACCTCCTAGAACTTGAATTGGAGTCCCACTGGACTTGGCTGGGCCCCCAACCTTCCAGAATAGGGGCTCTGCTAGCTCTCCACATCCCCACTCCCACCCCCCCTCCCAAAACTTGCCAGCCGCAGGAGGGCGCGGAGGCTGTGGTACCGTTAGTCACCCTCCCAGCTGTCAGTTTGCAAACACTCCCTTCCAGGCCTGCAGCTGCTGCTGCCGCCTCCCCACTGACTAGATGATGATAATAAAAATAATAACAGGTCCTGTTTTCTGAGCACTTATTCTGTGCCAGGCCCTGTCCTTGGCATGGTATGGCTCATCAAATTCTAACAACTCTGAGCGGGAGAGAGAGGCTATTATTATCCCCATTTTACAGATGAGAACCGCAGGCGAGGCCAAGAGGCAAGGTGGCCTTGCCTGAGGTTACACCTTGAGCGAGCACCCTGGCCCGCATCCTGCCCCAAGCATCCTGCCCCGCTGAGCCGTTAGCAAACCACCCCCCCACCCGTGCCTGTGGGCCCTCAGTGCCTGCACTACACCTCCTACCGCACCCCCCGCCCCCGCCCTGCTCCTGGGAGCTGCAGGCATGCTGGGACCTCACTGGCCTAGAAGAGAGAGAGTGCAAGGGAGAAGAGAGAAGCAAGTGGTGCTCAGTGGAAGGGGCAAGCTCAGCCTGGAGTGGTCAGGGTGGGCTTCCTCGAGGGGCTGGGCTTTGACAACCATGGAAGATCTGGAAAGGAGAAGGAGGAGCTAACTTCTCCCTTTGTTCTACCGGCTGTGACTTTGGGACCCGGTTTCCCCATCTGTACAATGGGTTGGTGATAACCCTGCAGCTCCCAGGGCTACTCTGAGGACTGGAGTTGCCGCCTCTCAGCACCAGAAACAAGGCCTGCCTTGATGCAGAAACCCTGCCTGCCGGAGCTGCGGACCCCCCCAGGATGGCTCAGCAGCCTCCCAGCCAGCGCCTAGGCTGGAGTCCCCTCCTTAAGGCTCTGAGGGTCCAGCCAGGCCATCCCCCTCCAGGTCAGAGCTAAGAGCCCGAGTGGCTGTGCTCCAGTCCGGCCCGGGTCAGGCACAGAGGGGCCCTTCCTAGGTCATGTGAGCCTGGTTTCAGGGCACTTGGCAGAGGCAGTGCACGAACACTGTCCTGGGAGTCAGGGGCTCTGAGTCCTGCTCCTCTGAGCACTGCCACCACCGTGCTATGTGACCTTGGGAGAGTTACTTGAACTTTCTGGGACTTGCTGGCTCTCCAGCACCTCAGCCAGGCCTGTCTCCCACCTGCTGTTCCCAGGACACCCTTGGCCGCCCACCTCCTTGCCTTGACATTCCCTCTCCATTCCCTCCCCCTTCTCTGCCCAAGGAACTGCTGCTCAGCCTTCGGGGTGCAGCTGAGGAAGCACTTCTGCTGCACACACGCCTAACAAAATGCATTAGGAGTCCTGCTGTGCTGTTTGTGGTAGCAGGAGACTGGGAGACAACCTTCACGTCCATTAACAAGGGACCAAGTGAATAAACGACCAGATGTCCCTAAAGAGAACAACGCAGCCCCTGTGATGGGGCCAGAACACTGCCCACGAGAGGGTAAGCAGAAACGGCGAAAGGCCAGCTCAAGTCACGGCAGGAAAAGTTGTTGGGGGATAGGAGAGTGACATGGCTTCCTCGTACCACCCCACAGACTAATCAGAAAGAGGACAAAACACCTTCACAACAGGGAGGTCTGGCGGACTCCTCGTTACCCAAACGAGGGAAATGATGCCGGGTGCCTCCCGCTCCCACACACCAAGGAGGGCACGGCATCTCTGTGGTACCCCCGAGAGCCGCCAAACCCAACTCCATCAGGAAGACGCAATCACACAGAGCCCAGCAACCAGCCTGGACTCTTAAAGTCAGTGTCATAAAAGACAAAACAAAGGCTGGGGAATGTTCTAGATTAAATAAGACACTAAAGAAACATGACACAACAAGAAAATGATAATGATGTGAGGTGAAGGAGGTGTTAACTAACCTGATTGTGGTAACTGTTCTGCAATATACACGTGTATCAAATCATCACATTGTACACCTTAAACTTAACGTTACACGTCAATTATATCTCAATAAAGCTGGAGAAAAAAGAAAAAGAAAGAAACATCACAACAAGATTCAATGAGTGATTCTGAATCGGATTCTGGATCAGAGGGAAAAAAGAGCTATAAACACCATTTGGGAACAATTGGGAAAATAGAAATGTTAGATAATACTATGGAATTAATGTTACTTTTCTTAAGTGTGATCATGGTACTATTATGTAACCGATCCATGCTCAAGTACTTAGGAGTACTTTAGGAGTACTTAGGTGTGATGCCCGCAACTAACACTCAGATAAACCAGCAAAAGATACACACACACTTGTCTATGTGTGCAAAGGAAGAGATAAAGC